ACTTTAGGGAATGGATTGAAACTTCACACACTTGTTCTCTGTGATTATCTAACATGATTGGCATAAGTCCCATAACTCTGATTTGCTTTTTTGAATATGTATGCCCCTTTTTCGACTTAGAAATTCTTGGTTAAGTTTTTGCCTGCAAGCTGGTACATGTGTGTCTCCAAAACTACTTAAGGGAATGGATTGAAACTTCACACACTTGTTCTCTGTGCTTATCTAACATGATTGGCACATGCCCCATTACTCTGATTTGCTTTTTTGCATAATTATGCCCCTTTTTGACTTAGAATTTTTTTTGTTTTTGCTTGTAAGCTGGTATCTCCATAACTACTGAAGGGTTTGTGCCTTTTTTGGAACAATTTTATAAATTCATAATAATAAAGCAGTGGTTAAGTCGATAAAATATCTTAATAACACACCTTTATAACTTTTCGGATAATTTTATGTATTCATATAGGTAAGCATTATTTTACTCAATGAAACACACTTGTGACAACTTTTCGAATAGTCGAGCGTTACTGTCCTCCGACAGTTCTTGTTTTTGGGTATGTGTTAAATAAAATATTATATAGTGTAGGTGTTGAACTTGTTGGATAAAATAATAGCTGAAGTTCGCAGAACATTTTATTCAACTCGTTCAATAAATTTTGTATTTAATCTACAATTATTCAATATCCTCCATTGATCGCCCTGTCTGATTGATAGGGGAATAGTATAGTCTGATTTTATTGACCTGTCAATTATGAATACATTATAGGACTCATTTAAATATTCGATCCCACTTCGGTTTGGTCCGTGTAGTTTACGAGAATTAATGTGGAGTATTGACAGTCACGCCAGCTTAATGTGACGGTTTTTGTTAATTCAGAATAGCACAGTCGGTTAAGAGAATGCCTGTTAATTGAGGTCTGTGGTTCGACCCTAACTGCTGCCATTGTTTTAGTACTCTTTCTTTATTTTTGCAGTATATTTAAATGGAACAGATTTGTAGTGTGTTTTACGGCATTGAAAAGACATTTATTGTTTTCAATCCGTTTTAATTTTAAACATGAATTCTTAAATCATGTCATTTAAAAAGAGTATAGACATAACAAAATTAAGTAAAACACAATAAAACAAATCGAACAACATAAAATAATCATATATAGCTTCAATAACGTTGAAAGTATTAATAAGAAAAAAAACATGGATCATCGCGGCCTCGAACTTAAAGCACGTGTGGCACTTAGATTATAACCTCGTGCTTTACCTTATTGCGTTATAACGCTGAGTGCACTTAGTTTAGAGATACAAATTAAATTAAATTCCATCGTACAGCGTACATCTTACCAAAAAAAAGAACTACATGTACCTAAGATTAATATACTGTGTGCATCCACCGTGTAATCAGTATGTAATTGACAGGTAAATAAAACCAAACAATATGAAGTGTGTAAGAATTTGTTTTGTTAAGTTTCTATTTAAAATGAATATGTACACACCAGTCTCAATTACACAAATTATGATGCTCAGCTACCAATTTTCCAGGTGACTTTTTACATACTAACATAATTATATAACTGTTTTCTTGTGTGACTTTTTATTTAAATATTTTGTATATCTATATCATAAAGTGTTTTGTTATATACTTTTAAATTAACTATTGAGAAATATTCATGAAAGAAAATGTGTATTTTCATTTCCCGTATTTTCACTGTAAAAAAAAACATTTTTCACTGCAGTAAAACATTTTTTTCCCATTTTTTCACTGGCGTCTTGTCGGACTTATTTCTTTTAAATTCTACCAGTACGAAAGTCTTTCAAATTGTAATGTTAAAAAAGAGAAATATGTATATAATAAACTGCAAATTCAAGATTTTCTATAAATAAATAAATACATGATTTATGTTCATCTTGTGGCATGGAAATTATCATATTTCACTCGTGGCTACCGCCACTCATGAATACAACGCGATGAAAATAATTATAGCAGAAACTTGAATATCCTCTATGTACTTACATTGTACAAATTTTGATTAAAAGCATGCGAATACCGAACGTTAATAGCTACAATGTATTACATCATCTGTATTAATATAGAATTTTTGTAAATTGTCAAACCGGAGGTTCCAGTATTTAACATTTTGTGATAACTTGTATTGTGCTGCTGATGCTTTTTAGAGTTTTTTCCCTCTTCTTATTTTTATTCTTGTTATTGAGATAAATTATTACTTTTTTATTCTTATTTTTTTCCGTAGGAATGTCAGTTAAAAATAAGATATATTTTAGTTTCCATCTAAACTATGTATGTTACTTTCTTGAAGTAAAAAATTAATAATGATTATTATTACCTGTATTAATTTTATCAGAACAAAGTCCAATATGACTTGAACATAACAGTTCCTCGTCATTACAAAAATATACAGCATACATTAAATACAGCAGACATACACATTTAACATTTGGTATTATGTCATACATTATTTATGTTTGTTTTTTCTGAAACTAAATGATTTATTAAAAAGTATTGCTAATCTATTCAAAGTATTATTTTTTTGTATAACATGTATTTAACAGATCGATATATTTAACCAAACTAGGATGCCTATAGTAATAACGTGGTATTTTTCGAGTCAGACCAAGTAGGACAAAATAAAACAAAATGGTATTCATCTTTTATATCGTTTACGTGTTATTGCCGATCTCAAAATGTTTCTATGTCTGCCAGTCTCTATATTTAAACGTACGGTGCGAAGACAATCATAGTTTAGCTATTGTATTTCTCAAATTCGTGCAATGCATATTTCAAAGTTAATTTAAGTTCTTTAAATAAAGATATTGAGCTTTTATTGTTGACAGTTTGACCCCAGCTATGATATAAATATCAATAAGTTTGTTCTAAATATTGGAATAAAAATATTAAGATATACAGATTCAGGAAATATCAAATTATCAACATATATAACATTCCTAAGTTATCATTAAACAACAATCGCAACTACTCGGCCCTTTCCGTCGGTCTTCGGATAAGGACCTCGAACACAATAGTATGAATACACAGAACGGATGCGGTATTCTAACCTACGCCAAGAAACAAATAGTAATTTAATGCTGGGAGTTGTTGACAAGTTTATTTCCAATATCTGTAGTAAAAGCCCACCTAAAATAAGTGAATGTATTGGTACAAAAGCAAACAATACATTATTTATACATTTATTATTATGGTTGTAGAAACCGAAAGTACAAAAAACCAACCTGTTGACATTTAGTCGGATTTGTGTAAAATTGAACATCAGTGGGCATATTAAAAAATGTCATAGTTTGGCTACATAATGTTAGTTAAGGTTTTATCAACATTTACCAAAAAGATCTACCAGTAAATATTTTGTAAACACTCCAACACCATACTTAATATAAACCCTTACATTTTTGGTAAAAAACAACACATCGATGATTTGTTAAGAATTAACTCGTAAATTTACTGGTTTATGATTTCTAAATTGGAGTCGCTTCTTATCATATTACTATTTCTAAGCTCAATAAAGTCGTCATATATATTTTTATTAATAGAAGAGTGACCGGTGATCTTCAAGTAACATTCAGCACATCATTCCCCGCTGCCAACATTTTCTTCCATTTAGAAATTTCAAGTATAAATGATAAACAAACATGCCACACAAACATTCACTAATTACTCATTGCAGACGTTTAGGCTAGATGCCTTCACCAGTGCAATATGATAACATATAGAAACCACAAAAAAAATTTATGTCATAAATAAAGCTGGTACTTGAATAAATTATTATAAATGGATAAATAGTGATTCTGATGCCTATTAGACAGTGTTAATGAAAAGAAGATAATTGACAAACATTTAATAACCATGTAACTCATTTATAAATCAAACATTGACAAAGTCACATTTACCATTAATAATTTACGATTAATAATGTGATTTTTTATATACAAAAGCAGTTTGCTTAATAAGTTTTGTTTAAATATATATAGCGTATGCTTTAAAAGACTGCATTTAGTCTTTTCTATAGATGGTGAACGCAATGTTGCAACATTTCATTTCTTTCTTTCTTTCTTTCTTATTTCTTTGTTTCTTTCGTTCGTTCGTTAGTTCGTTCAACAGAAACACATGAAAAATAGCCGACACTTCCATGCAAGTTAATTTAATTTTAGCCTTTCTTTGGCAACGCATTCGGATGTAGTAAGCTCGGAATGGGCTTAAATCATTTTAAATGTGCATGTAAAGGGACACAATAGATACTTTAAAATACAAAATAAGCTCATTACAGTTGTCGTCCCTCACTAATACATGTGTCGCTAGTAACTTGAATTGTCAACTTATTTTTTGCTTTTCTCTCAGTATCATCAGCAGTTCATGTCATATTTGTTTCATTACGTCATATTGACGGTAAAGTAATAAAGCTCTCGTGGACCCTTGTAAGCCCAGTTATAACAAACAAATACAGCTTCGGCGTAGGAAAATTAAATTTGCGTCCCCGTTGATGACTTAAATTATAAACACCCGTTAACTGTTTGCACGTAGATACGTTTGTTGTGGTATCAACAATACTATTTAACATTATATAAGCCACGTCACGACAAAACCAACATAATGCGTTTGCGACCAGCATGGATCCAGACTAGCCTGCGCATCCGCGCAGTCTGATCAGGATCGATGCTGTTCGCTATCAGTTTCTCTACTTGTAATATGGTTTGTAAGCGAACAGCATGGATCCTGATCAGACTGCGCGGATGCGCCGGCTGGTCTGGATCCATGCTGTTCGCAAACGCACTATGTTGGTTTTGTCGTGACGCGGCTCATATATAAAACGTATCCTCTTTTATATCTATACATCGGATATATTCCTATAGTCTGTCCCACCAAATTTGAAATTCCATTTTTTATTAAATATAATAGTAAAATCATTTAAATTAAAGTCATTCGTCCACGTTTAAATGTAACGATAAGGGCAGTTGACGTCACAACCGGTATAACGTTATAAACGTCGTTGATATAGCAACTAGATTAACGGTAGTGAAATTGACAGAGTTTCCTGAAGATGTTTAGTTAACTTGAAGAAATATGTCTCTAAATTAATCATGGCAACGTTTGTAACTGTCCAGTATGGAGGTATTTAGTGATTGTTTTACTTAATTTTTAAAATTTAACGACCAAATGACATAATTTTATACAAAATTGGTATTATCCCGTCTTTGTTCTCTCGGGAATATTGACATTTTTGCAACTTCCAAAAAAAATTGAATTGCATCAAGGTTTTTCTAATAAAATTTCTATTTGAAAGACCCTGTTTGCATGAAACTATGACAAATTAATTATCTTAATGTTCTGTCAAATATAATTTCTATAAAATCATTTCTAGTTATCAGAAATTTCTTGCAATTCTTAAAGTGTGTTAAATTTGGCATGTAAGTAAAGAATGGCCTTACTGGGTTAATTTTTTAGTATTTGGAAATGTGTATTATGAAAATAAAATATATCATAGTGTTTCGCACTGTGTTTCGTACTGTGTAAGTTAGTTTCTTTTACATTTGCTATCAGTTACACAAGAAAATACGCATACAAAACAAAACATATAAAGATTAGACGAAATAATTTTAGCTTAGGTAGGCAATTTTAGCTTCTTTTACGCTTACGTGTGTAAAGATATGATTGAATTGAAAATATGTTTCAAAATAGTATCTATAACTTATAAAACAACTGTCTTGAATGAAAACATAACCACACAATAGCATCTCCAGTCTGCTGGAAGGTCGTCACAAACATCAAAAGCTACAGTTGTCGTGATTCTGACAACATTGCATTAAAATAATTGAATGATTGTATGGCCGCACTGTGCATTAACAAAACGTTTTCCCACGCAGAAAACGAAGAGCTTCTTATTAACCCGAATTGCCGACAGCTGACCTTTATGGGATACTTGCGTGAGAAATGCCAGTATGATAAAAATGGTATGTCAAATTCACTGATCACTGATATTTTGTTAGTAAATAAAAATAATTTTAATTTTAATTTGACTGTTGAAAATCTTGAACTTACATTGCTTCCAGCTTCACAGACGTGAAATTGAGAAATTGAAACTGTTTCCGGCAAATATTTTGATGCGAACTGTTTATTTACCATTGTCTACATTTTATCAAATCATTAAAATCATACAAAAAACAAAATGGCAATAACAGAACTCTGGTATTTGCATGGTCTGTGTTTTGCACGCACATACATACAGCATTTCTTTGTACACTTACACATATTTATCCCCATTAGTCTTTCGTGTACATGTAATGTTAACATGTTACAATGTAGGCAAAGTATATTTTATGGCTGTACATGCATGTATATTATTTCCAGCATTTATTGACCTATTAGATGAGAATGGTAGATTGACGAACCTTCATCTCGTTAATCCACACGACAACGTACGAGACTGTTTCGAGGAAAGGATTATCTACATACCAGTAATGTTAGAAAGTAAGTATAACCTTCGCAATTAAAAAAAAATCATCTTGTTTCAATATTTTGGCATGCTCTTTCTAAGTTTATAATCTAATATATACGATAGTCTTATTTTATACATGTCTCAAAGTACTATAAAAGCATCAAATGAAGTTACAACTGTGAACCTTTATGACCGACTCACAGATTCTTGGGGTTTGGAGCTCTACTATTATAGATGTTGAAATATGATTTTTTTTCAAAACGGCTTATATTAAGTTTTTTTGATATATATGATCAGTACATGTGCTGGGATTGACAAATATGCATTTTATTTGGATTTTAAAGGCGTTTTGAGCTCCAAACCCCAAGTGTCTGTGGACCGACTTACCCCAGGAGACTCTAATTTTATCAAGTGTTAAAGAACCATTTTTCATAGTATAACGCTAACATTTAGCGCGTCTTAACAACATAAATGACGTCACATCAAAATATATGCACTGCTGTACGGAGCAGCAATTTAAAAGCGACACGGGTATGTGATAAACCATTATTCGAGATCCAAGACCAAAACACTGTTAGTGACTCGAGTTGGAGTGGTGGCGGATAGAGTTGGATATAACTTAAGATACTGGTTGTGTTGTCATACGGGCACCCAGGAATGAGGGTCTCTTTATGTATAATAATATGTACCACACATATTTCGGTTTTTAAGTGGCTCATTTACATGACACCTGAATGATATTTATGTGGTTTATATTATTTTCAGAGATACCTGATTCTGACAATTACAAGACGGTAAAACCGCAACTTGAAGACTGGGAGAAAACCTTCCCGCAACTTGAGAGTAAGATATTTAAAGTTCAAGATGTATACAGTCTCGAAATTCTACAGTATTCTTATAATCATTGATTTATTATAATAGTAAGGTCGTGATGACCAATTATGTTGTACAGACTTGAATGTACTTGTATTTACTGTGCGTATGTCCTTGTATAATTTTAAATTGAAACGTGTGAACATGAAGTCAAACGCTATGTTGGGTTTACTGGGTCCACTTTGGTTAAAAAACTCGGCGTCCGTCGCCACAAGTCAACAACTGATGTCATATCAAGACCCCCCTCCCACACCGCTACCGTTTACAGGAAAAATCGTTATCTATTTAAAGAAACTGTGTGCAGTTATAATACAGTCTACCATTTCATTTAATATGGCTATCTCTGTTCTAACATAAGAGTTCCATTCCCCGCACTGTTGACAAGTATCATTTTACAACAAATGTATATTCACTACAAGAATAAGACACTAACATCATATTTCTTTATTTTTTCATTTACAGAAAAGATTAAGATCCTTACTGGCGAGGTCAAGCGAAAAAAGAGCCCATATAGAGGTGAAACTTAATTCTTTGTTTGTTTGTTTGTTTTGGGTTTTACGTCACATCGACACAGTATAGGTCATATCGCGACGTTCCAGCTTTACGGGTGGAGGAAGACCTCAGGTGCCCTTCCGTGCATTATTTCAGGCACGAACGGGTACCCGAGTAGAACCACCGACGTTCCGTAAGCTAGCTGGATAGCTTCCTCACATGAAAGAATCCAAAGTCCCTGTCGGGATTCGAACCCACAGAGGTGAGGGGCAAGTGGTTTGAAGTCAACGACCTTAACCACTCGGCCACGGACGCCACATTTTTTCTTTTAACTACCTTTAAATCTTCATACTATTTTAGATACATATGTTCTAATATTATACTATTTTCTTAGATTTGAATCATATAATATTAGAACTGCTAACCATTCCGTTTATGTGATTTGAAACGAATATTACATGCTTATGATATTTTTTTTTAAAAAGCGACGGGACATTTTCGGTCATAACTCACGAACTTCGAGTTGTTACTTCTTAGCATATGTACAATAGTTTTATAGAGTGATCCCGCCCATGTTTAGTTTATTTCAAACCAATATCAAAATCTGTTTCAGGTCTTGGAGGAGGTCGAGTGGTGGATAGAAAGGCCTCAAGTCTCTCGAACAAATCTGATGCCGGACGCTCTCAATCTCAGTTAGGCCGACCCTCCACAATCCTACAGTCAACAACAAATACAGGAAGGAAGTCAGTCGTTGGAAATAAAGGGGAGATCAAGATGGCGTCCAAAGTAAAAGGCGGGAAAGGGAAGAAGAAATAGACACTTTTGTTTGTATTTAATTTTGTTATTAAAATGTGAATCAGGTTATATCATAAACTTATTATCATACTGTCATCGTCATGAGCGAGTAAAACAATTCAGTTTTTATAACATTTATAAGACAGATAGAGAATCAGTATAAAGTGATTATATGTTACTGTAACGTGTTGTTCTTTAAAGTAACTAATAACCATATTTAAGTCACGGTTCAGAACTGTCCACTTTTTATGAAATTTAGTGTGTAAGCGGCTGAATAGCTCAGTCAGTAGAGCCGCGGTATGGTTATCCGAGAATCCCAGGTTCGAGTTCCGGTCAGGCTGCACATTTTTCTCACCCTGTGACATTTTTTAAAACATTATACTCTAGCTTTCAGGTGAAAATACAGTCATTTTCTACCAAGAAATACAAAAACCCTATCCTAAATTCAATACTTCATATTCATTGAATAGCCTGTGTTACATGTCAAACACACTTTTTCTCCTTTTCTGCAAAACCCATTGCGAGGACGTTGTCTACATGTGTGCATTGCTTTAGTTGCTCTTGTTTTCCTTTCTCTTTCTTTTTCCTTCTTTTATTTTTGGATTCGGTTTCAAGTCCTAACGTTAACAACACTGTCACTGTCACATGGCGATTTTTCAGCTTTCCTGGCGGAGGAAGAAATTATCCGCGATCGTGATCAATTTCAGGCTGTGCCGGGCACTTGATAAGAGGTACAAAATGCAAAGTAGCTTGACAATTCGCTAAAACACGTGTGTACTGCATTTTTATAGCATCCATACAATACTCGGACGAAACTACTAAACTTTTTTTTAAATCTAGGTTGGACAAGAAACACCTTTTAAGTAAAAATGTCCCTGGGTGTTCAAATGTCAAAAACATGAAGCACAAGCAGATTGTTAAACATTTTATAGGTATAATAACTGAGTGTATGGCAGCAATATACAACACACAATACTGATCAAGTTTGGTAAATAACTACATCTACACTAACTATACATACAGTCTGAAAACAAACTCTATAATGTATTAAATCTGCACCGATATCAGCTACTTTAAATCGTTACTACAAAAAGGCGAGATCATATAAATTAAATTATAGCACTTCCAGTTAAATAGATGATACAAGGGAGACAACTGCGTGTAATAATTTTTACACAAAAAATACTTTGTTACTTCCCTTCAAACACATGTAATTGGGAATAATAAAACATTTACGTAAACAAGTATTTGTCACGTAATTATCACTTAAAGGTAAGTCTGCTAAATGTTAAAACTAACAATCTTACAAATATATAGTCTTACATTTGAAAGTTTTCATAAGAACCATTTTTGCCAGTTCTAACTTTTTTATAGATATTAAAACAATTTAAACATTTCTTTTTCAGTTTAACTCACAAGTGTTGGAGCAGTACATCTAGACCCTTGCAGAAATCATGATCACAAAATAGAAAAAATATCGCTTTTTTCGCCGATTCTTACATTTTTATTCCTTATGGTATATCAATTAGGTGTGAAGAGATGTATTGGACGTTTTAAAGTGAAAAGGCGTGATTTTAGTAGCATTCTTGTCCGGTATTTACCGGAATACGGTATTTAGTGTGCTGCTCCAACAGTTTTTAAAACAAAAATAACTTCGCTAAAACCCGTATAGCAATATCTACGGAACAATGATAGCACGATATAATATAAAGATCAACAAAACAGGAACAGGAAAACAACACATTGACATATGACTGCCCACTCATCTAAAGTTACATAGAAAATAAAACTGTGAAGTAAATATTGACCCTTCCACGATCACCGAGTATGTGCAATACTACAGGGGGTCATGGTATTTTGATACTTCTTTTTTGATTTATATACAAACAGTATAAGTCAAGTTATAGATATAAGCAGGTTTTGCAAAACAATACACTGGCATTAATCATAACAATCGTAATAAAAATATAATCATTTGTACCTTTTAGTAGTGACTGTCTAAAATAACACAAAAAAACTTCCAGGCACTCAGGTCAAAATGAACACACCTCTTTGTTACTGAATTTAGCAAAAACAAAGAAGCAAAATATCTGAACCTTTTAAAATCAATTTATCATTTTATATTTTCTGAAATTCTATTTACAATGATATAATGTTTTGTATAAATTACCCCACCCCCCACACGTCCCCTCCTATAATTATTTCCTGAATCAGATGAACATACTAAATGTAGAACTCAAATTTAAGATTTTCGCAGCTTAGATAAAAAAACTAAAAAAACTAGAAAAAAAACGGATTTCATTGATGCATAAGATTATGTCAAGTAAATTATCCAGAATAAAACATGTTACCTATATACTTAGACCAAACATTTAACAATCAAACCAGTATTTAGAAAAATACATCTGAAAGCAACTCAAAACCAAATCTTTCCTTTAATGTCATCCGTTCTTGCCAGACATCTTTCTTTTCTTTTGGATTTTTGATTCAAAAGTTTGCCACAAACAATCATGATTATGTCAGTCTAGAATCATTCTAGCCTTGCCAAAGTTCATCCCAGCCTGAGTTGCTCCTTTATTAGACCCGTATTGTAGGCCTATCACCTGTTTGCCGGCTGTCAACTGTTCCTCACTAAACGTCCGTACGTTATGCTCACACTTTTTAGGCCAGATGTCTGGTCCCTGATAACCGGGCCTACTCTGTGCCTGTAATACAAAATAAAATATCAAGGATCTAAAATGAGTTGTCATTTGAAATATAAATTAAACATAAATTTTTATGAAAAAACTTAAGGAAAATGTTAGTGGGCGAGCCTCTGGTCAGATAAATATCACATTTCTTGGGCTAGTTTCACAAAAGATGGAGTAAGGTAGGTATTTGATATAGTTTTTTTTGGACTCGGATTTTTGGACTCTCAAAAATAACAAGAGCTGTCTGTAGGACAGCACGCTCGACTATTCTAAGTGCTTGATAGTAAAAGAGCCTTTATATTGTTTAATTTTTTAAGTTCACAAAAGGGCTAATTTCTTTTTTATAAATTTATGTTATAGGCCTAAGAGAGAGTCTAATTATACAGTATTGGCTTGACTATTCGGAAGGTAATGTCACAAGGGTGTTTTATTGAGTATAATAATACTAATTACCTATGAATAAATAAATTTGACAGAAAAGCGTACAAAGGCTTGTTATTAAGATGTTTTCATTAAGTAAATCACTGCTTTATTATTATGAATGCATAAAATTGTTCCCGAAAAAAGGCACAAACCCTTCAGTAGTAATTGAGATAACAGCTTACAAGCAAAACTTTACCATGAATTTCTAAGTTGAAAAAGGGGAGAAAAATCAGCCTAAATGCAAGATAGAATTATGGGATCTTTGTCAGTGACCTACAATTATGACTCTAAATGCATATGTGTGAAGTTTTTTTTTTAATAAATATCTTTAATAGTATTGAGATATGTAAAACTTGCATTAAACATTAACCAAGAGACTAAGTAGAAAAGGGGATATGAATCAGCCTTAATGCAAGATAGAGTTATGGAACTTGGTCAGTGACATACAATTACGACCCTCCAATTATGACCCTAAGTGCATGTGTAAAGTTTCAAGTAAATATCTTTGAAGACCTTTAATCTTTAACCAAAATTTCTAAGTTTCAAAGGGGCGAATAATTCTGCAAAATATTGCAGGCAGAGTTATGCAATTTTTTTGCAAACTGATGTACATTGTTACTATAAAAAGTATTTTAAATTTCCATTGAATATCTCAAGCAATAATGAGATATTTGACTTTACAAAAACTTTAACCAAAATTTCTAAGTTTCCAAAGGGGCATAATTCTGTTAATATTGTAGGCAGAGTTATCCAACTTGTCAATCTGATGCACCTTTTTACTATAAATAAGTATTGTAAGTTTCAATTGAATATCTCAAGCAATAATTGAGATATTTGACTTTACAAAAAACTTTAACCAAAATTTCTAAGTTAAAAAGGGGCATAATTCTGTCAATATTGTAGGCAGAGTTATCCAACTTGTCAATCTGATGTACCTTGTTACTATAAATAAGTATTGTAAGTTTCAATTGAATATCTCAAGCATTGATAGAGATATTTGACTTTACAAAAAACTTTAACCAAAATTTCTAAGTTAAAAGGGGCATAATTCTGTCAATATTGTAGGCAGAGTTATCCAACTTGTCAATCTGATGAACCTTGTTACTATAAATAAGTATTGTAAGTTTCAATTGAATATCTCAAGTAATAATTGAGATATTTGACTTTACAAAAAACTTTAACCAACGCAGACGCCGACGCGGACGCTGACGCCGACGCCGACGCCGGGGCGACTACAATAGCTCTCATATTCTTCGAATAGTCGAGCTAAAAACGGGGCTAGATGGAGTACAATATGAATTTCATATAGATTTGTTTTGGATCTGAAAATGAAAACAGAGTACGATATGGATTTGATATGAAATTTTGGACCTGGAATTAAAAAACAAAAACTGAAAAAGCAAAAATGATTTTCTATTAACACACCAAAACGTTTTAAAGTTTATTGATTCTGGGGACGTCTGTGAAATGTTGAGCATTTGTCGATATGTTGAACGTCCGTGGGTTTGTTTGTTTGTTTGATTGGGCAGTATATGTCATAATTATGGCGACGCTGCAGCTTCACTGGTGCAGAAAGACCTCAGGTACCCTTCCGTGCATTATTTCAGGCACGAACGGGCATATGTGTAAAACCACCGACGTTCCGTCAGCTAGCTGAATAGCTTCGTCACATGAAAGAATTCAAATACCCTGTCGGTATTCGAACCCAAAAGGGATGAGGGACAAGTGGTTTGAAATCAACGAATTTGACCATTCGGCCACGGTTAAGGATATGTTGATTTTTTTCGCAGATATGTTGAGCATTCTTAGATATACTGAAAATTCGTGGAAATGTTCACATTTTTCTTGATTTGCTGAACGTTCGTGAATGTGCTGAACGTTAGTTGGTATGTTATAGGTTCGCAGATCTGTTGGACAATCTTGAATATATTATGTTGAAGTTCATATGGATATAATAATGTTTCAAGCGTTTGTGGATAGGTTGGGACGTTCGGTGATATGTTGAAGGTTAATGGATATGTTGAAAGTTTACAAAAATATTAAACGTTTGTAGTAATGTTGAACACTTGTGGGTATGTTAACGTTCGAAAATTTATTGAGCATTCCTGATTATGTTGAACGTTTGTGTTAATGTTGAGCGTTCATGGGTATTTTGACGTTCGTGGCTATTTTTGATTTCTTGATATGCTGCGTGTTCGTGGACACACTGAACGTTTGAAGATATGTTGAGCATTCTTTGATGGATATGTCGAACTTCATCGGATAAGCCGAGGAGTTGAATTTACGACTTATGCAATATCTCTATATAAATTTAGTTATTATGTTTTATCGTATCACTGGCATGGACAGGCAAGTTCTCAAAACGGAATGTAATAAAAGAATACTTTACCTCTATTCCTATAGCTCTTATACAAGTACACACTTGCACTAAATTAGTCCGCTCATATAAATAGTCCGTCTGGAATAAGTTTGTATCAGGAACACCATATTCTTGCGCTTTCAATAAAAATATCCCTATTCTCTCTCTTTCACGTGCCATTTTGAACGCTTGCGTATTTGTTGGTTGAAAAGTTTTTTTCGTAAAATCTATTTTCTTTCCTTCTGGTAAAAGTGCATCTATTAACCTAAAAACAACATCAAAACATAAAAAATAATAAATTGGAGATATTTATGTTTGTTTCGAACGAGTGAAAATCTTAAGAAATTTTCATCTAGTCTAATCATCTATAAAAAATGAACGGTTTTGAGCCGGATGATACAAAATCGTGAACTGATAAAAAGTCCGAGATAAATAATCACTAAGCCTTTTTGTTTATTAAAGTTTTTGTTTAAATTCAAGGGCAATCGGTTATTCTTACTTGCATAACAGCAATCCATCTTTGAGTGTATCGTGAAAACTATAAGACATTTCCCTACGGTCATCTATTTCCGGTATCTGTATATTCTCGCCAGTTATCTCCCCTATCCAGTATAAACATTTCTTCGCTTCGTCTATATCAAATTGAGAGTCGATCTAAAACCCAAAAATGCAAACAAAATCAATTAAAATAAAGATATTGTGAATCATACCGACAAATAAACTAACAATGTAAAAGCAAGAATGACACTACTTATGTAAATTGTAAGTTCAGACTTCAAAACAGTGATTTCATCGTATTGATACACTGCTGCATCATTTTCGTTAAAACTTCAACTGTCATAGCAATAACAGCCCTGTCACCATCTCTATAATATGTGAATATAAATACAATGATCAAAATATACAAAATAATTAAAAACTTTAACTTGTACCCTTTTTGTCTCGGAATGCCCGGCTAGACTGCTCTGCCAGCTGAGCATTCAAGCCGAGCATTGATTTCGCTACATATTGCTTATTCTATCTTATTACATACTTATATTCTACGTTTGTTTTATTCTACCAGTACACGTCCACTGTTCAAAAGACAACTTATATTATTGTATATCTTTTTTTCAAAAATCAAAAATAATTAAAAGCGGTGACGTGTCTCTAGACGAATTACTGTGAGATAGAAATCGGGGAAAATCTGAAGGTTTAATTTATATAAATATTATGTATTCTGTGTATTTTATTTCAGTGGGGTTTAATATCTGATCAGTCACAAAAGTTTAGCTTTTTATCTCTATATCAGACATTGTTATCTAATACTTGTGCGCCTGACTGAATTCTTGATATTTGTATTTTTTTGTAAACTTTCTTTCAGGTTGAAAAATTACTACAGTGGTATAAAATCACTATGTTAAAGCCTATGATTACACTGGTTAAATCCCCCTTTTAGTTGCAGCAGACGTTTTTTTGTTGCAGTAGCAGACGGAGCAAATTGGTCTCGTCATTAAACATGAAGATGATCAAACTGTTCGGTCTGTACGGAAAAGATACATTAACTGACAATTCATTTCAGGACCTGTTTTTATTTCCTGAATTTTATGAAAACATGACTGAAATATTGAACAATATATTTTTTCTAATTGAATCATAAATAACTTAGGTGACGGCCAGTAACCGAAAGTACATCACTATTATTAATTTCCGTACCATATAAATAAGCGCCGATATAACTATATACATGTACATGTATTGAGAGATGGAGAAGAAACGTCAACATAATATTTCAATCAACCAAGCGCGTCCAGGACTCAAACTCGGTAAACAACCGGTTCATATGCTTAAATATATCTATTGATGCCCGATTTGTATAAAAAATGAAGCTTATGTGAACATTTTTTTATTCCGTTTCCTGGATCTAACCAGTGGTGGAGTCGTATGAGGAAACTCAAGAACCGCTCATACTAACGACCTCTGGGTTGGGAGGCAGACACCTGAACCCCTAAGCCACCGCTCCTTTTTGTTTATGTATCATCACGAATTTATGAAAATCTACCCTTGCTATCCCCTATTAAACCTTTAAATTTTAGCTTCAACGGATTGCATAGATCACCAGTATTTAATCATCTATTGCATGTGCAGTTAAACTATTAGCAGCTCGGGTCTTTTGTACTTTTTGACCTCGAAATCTTACATGTAACAATGGACAATGGGTTATGGACTGTTCTACAGCTGAAGGATAACTGGTTTATATACTGCAAAATTTAGGCAACAACACATGCACATTTTCATTACCATTTTAATATATTTTTACTGTACGACCTCTTAAGATATTTAAAAAGAACATTTGTAAAGTCAACTATAGCATGACAATATTATGCAGATACATGACGAATAAATGCTTGTATTTTAAACCGATAATTGATTTACATTAAAATGCAATTCAACCTGTTCGAACACATTTCATTAAAAGTGCCGTTATTAATTTCTATTCTTAACATAAAAGGCGATTGGAATTTTAAAAGTTCTTTTTAAATCTTTTATCTTTTTTTCTTTATAGATAAAAAACACTTTATTGTAAGGTTTCAATATGTGACTATCACATTACAGTTTTATTTACAAAGTTTTTGTATTCACTTGAAAATTAAGTTTTAGATTGTTTACAAAGTTTAAGGTAGATTTGGAACACAATCAGTTTAAAACAATTAAAAGCTAATGTATATTCATAACTAGTTACTTAAGATTATTTAAGGATAGTACTAACACGTTTAGCATACATAAACAATTAACAAGGTCTATGAAATGTATAAACCCTGGATTTCGCCCGTTAATGAAATTAAGACGTAGTAACATTACAATATATGAGTCGCGTCACGACAAAACCAACATAGTGCGTTTGCGACCAGCATGGATCCAGACCAGCCTGCGCATCCGCGCAGTCTGATCAGGATCCATGCTGTTCGCTATCAGTTTCTCTACTTGTAATAGGGTTGGTAAGCAGGGCTAAGGACTGGCCTCGAGTCTTCAACGAAACTTGTCACTATGGGTTTGGGGGAAAAGGAACGTGCAATCAAACGACTGAACTTAATAATATGGTGGCTGGTTTGTGCCATGTCGTACTTTCGTTCTGCAGGGCGCTAGGCGAAAATACGACAAACTTTCGGTCCTCGGGGCGCAAGGGTTACTTTGTCGAATTTTCATGTTTTCGTCTGACGCCCCGCGGAGCGAACATACGACATGATACAAATCAGCCACCAGATAATTACAATATAAATTTAAAGAATTAAAAGAAATATTTCAATGAAGGAATGAAGTTTCTATTCAGAACAAGTTTGAAAACATTTGAATGCACCATAAATATTCGAGTAAATAAACTTGTTATTATTTCAAGTAGAATCTGTTCAGTGGAGAGTTAAACAAGTGGCTGTTAGAGTGTTTACTCAATGGAATAGACAGATCGTAAAAACAAGATACAGTCGCCGTCAAAGATTAGACTCACCTTTTAAGGCACATCTAAACTGATGAACAGTATAACTTACTGGACAGGCATTCTAATTTGACCTTTACAAACAGTTTTACAATGATGAATGCAAATACACAAATGTACATGATGCTGTTTGTATTGGAATTCGTGTTATATCTTCAGTATCATTCCAATTTTATAATGATACTGGCATTCGGTCTGTCCTACAAAGTTTTCTAGTATACTGTATCAGTATAACCTCGGAAGAGCAACACCCTTTAGAATACAAATATTTTGGTTGTTAATGAGAGGTGGTTGCGTTACAGAGGTAAAATCCATTGTAGAGTCTTACTTTTGGAAGATTTAAAATGATTGTTGTAAAGAGGTAATTGCTGTGCAGAGGGTCGGTGTGCGAAGGTTGGACGGTACTTATATCCCCGTGTTTAAGAGGCTTTCCACATCAATTAATACCTTGATTTTACCGAAATAAAACATTTTTAACATGCAAGGAAAACATATTTTCAACTTAAAATACATGTACATGTACATAGATCACTAAGACTGCAAAGACCTATTAGAATCTTATGGATTGAAAAAGAAGTCTATTACTCCTTTTACCCCTGATTTTAAATTGAAATACAAACAAAATATCGCGCAGCAACATGTACAACAACACTATCAGTGTTTTATAGTAAACAGTGGTGACATTGTTAACATTTTTATCTTTACAGTTTTACACAGCAAATGTGAAATGCAACTGGTCAAATTTCTTTTTTCACAAATTGATCACACAAACCTTTTTTTATCGGAACTGTTACTTATATCTTTTTTATGCATATATTTACCTGTATGTTGTTGTTGTTTTTTTTATATGTTTGAGTGATGGGAGTGAAAGAAGACAAACATAAATTATAATCGTAAGTTGATTAAAACTTGATTCAAACTATAAACTGCACTGTTACATACATGTATATGCTTCTACATGTAAATGGTGATGAAAAAAACAAACAATTTTAGCAAAACAACTTGTCTAGAAAGAAATGCCATCAAAAACCAGTTACACGCATACGTTACACGCATACGTTACATACATACGTTACACACATACGTTACATTCATACTTTACATATATACGTTACAAACATACGTAACACGCATACGTTATACACATAAATTACACACATACGTTATACTGTGTGTAACATATGCGTGTAACGTATGTTTATAAGTTATACACATACGTTATACGCATATGTTACACATATACGTTACACACATACGTTATACACATACGTTACACACATTCGTTATACACATTCGTTACCTACATACAAGTTACACACATACGTTATAGCATACGTTACACACATACGTTGCATGCATACGTTTACACACATACGTTACACATACACATTCGACAGATACGTTACACACATACGTTACACAGGTAAGTATTATTCAATGGTTTCATTCATAAAACAAGTAATTATTGAACGTGTTATGAATTAAACAAACTTCATTCACAGAAATCTCCCTATATAATCGCTGAGAAAATATATGATGACATAATCAATTAAGAAACAACAGTACTTATTAGCAGTGTGGTTTTTTAAAAACATTCAGATATAATTCCTGCCACCAGACGCTATAGAGATCCTTAATTCATACTGAACAGCCATTCTTTTCTTTTCTTTCGACATATGTCAAATCAAGTACTATTCAGACTGAAGTAAGGACCTCCCAGCCCTACATTACATACAAAAGTAAATTTAAAGAATTTATTTCGATTAAATCTATAAGAAAAGTGAAGAAAATCCTAACGTTTAGTTTATTTTAAGCAAGGTAAAATAAACAGAAATAGTCACGCGTTTGCATAACTAACGTATTTGAGTTGTTAGCATAAATGGCGTAGTTTAAACATTGAAACTGTCACAGTCAACATTATATATGATACTATTATACCTGATAAATATGCTACCACTGTGGGTAAAGTAAACCTACAACTATTTACATAGCCAAAAAAGTTTGCCTTTTAGCACGTTGACTTGAACAGACTTAGTGAAAAAAACATTTAGTAGCTCAACAAAGATTAAGGAAGGTAGGGCTTTGAATAAATCAAAATTTTAGATGTAATTTTAAAGCAGCATGCCTCAAGATTCATGTTAATTTTCATTAATATTTTGAAAATATATTTAAAAGTAAAATATAGTAAAGGGAGCAAAGAAAGTAATGTACACATCGATTGCAAACGACACTTAAAATTCACTTAAATTACCAAAAAGGTAATCAAAATATGCAAAAACAGTCCTTACTGCGTGACTAACGCAGTAGGAATATTATGATCTATACTGCAAAACCAGTCATGAATCGCATATTACATGTAAATTATTACTTGAATCTTAATTGTTTTACTTTTTATATAAATCTTAGTACAGCTTCATTTTTCTCAAGATTAATTTTCTTGAAATATTCTGGCTCAATTGGAGGCATGCAGATTAAAGGAAATATCGGTGTATTCATTAAAACATTAAATTAGTAACTTCTTGCAGATGACAGGAAAACCATCGCAGACTTCTATGTTCTATAAAGATAAAACAACAGTTCCACTAACACCTTCAAGAAATTAATTGATTCTTCCTTAAATGTCCGATATCGCAGTTAACAGGTGCGATAATCAATAAAATCGAAGTGTCATTGACCAAGAAATTCATGTCCTAAAATAAACACAGGACTGTAATGTTGACCTGTTAATGCTGAACAGTTGATCAGTCAAGCATTTAATTTTTAAAGGGGCATCTATTATTATTGTAAAACACATTGTCAACTGTAAGATAAAACTATTAGTACAATAGCCGGTACATGTATACAGTTATATGGGACAATTCTCTATACATGGTAAAATGCCATTTAAACGTTGTTATACTACAAAAATCTAAGTAAGTAAGTTAGTTGTTTTTTTTAAAAATAAAGTTTACTTATGTACACGTGATATTATGTTAATGAAAACAAGAAAGAACAATTACCTTTACTTGGGTATCCCTTGCTAATCCAGCTTTGGCTGCCCTGTACGACATTTTACTACTGAACTGCCTTTTTGAGACACTCCAATGAAACTTATCAGTGCGTGCGTAGTACAACAGCGTTGTTTGCTATTTATAGAACAGGACGTTACAACTGTACTGAATCGTGTACATTTGTACATGACTATGTGACATTGTCATTATTATCTGCGGTAGCTTTTTAAGAAGTTCCATGTATGTCATTTATCTGTATCAAATGCTATGTAGATCTATCTATTTAAAATGAATCAATTAAACAATGCGCTAGTACTTTTCCTGTTTATGCTCGTATCTTCAAATTGTCGCTGTGGTAAGATCGAAACAATATGATTAAACATCATCCCTGTAAACATGCAGTGGTTGGGCCAACCACGGAAAATCGTCCACGGAAAATCGTTGTTGGGCCATGGTTGGCCCAACTCTAATTAACATGTACTTTAAATGCAGTTGTTGGCCCAACGTCGAACCAACCATAAGTTAACGCCAGCGACATTTCTGCATTGGCCCAATAACGATAAATATGTACTTTAAAACAGATGTTGGGCCAATGTTTGACCAACGATACATTTTCGTCAAATATATTACTGCACCTGACCCAATTAAAATTTATTTTTTTAAAGACAGATATGCATGAAGATATTTTACTGTATATAAACAGTACACTACAATGAGTAAAGACTAAAGTTTATAAAGTTTTTTGAAGCCATGTTCAATATTGTCACATTCAAGAAATACTCATATAAATTAAATGAGAAATGTAAGAAATAATTACTTTTTGTGTCTAGAAATGACCAAAGCCCAGGCTATGCAGTAGTAGGGGATGTATCTATAGATCTATAGAAACCTTGAAAATCTGATGTATAATCTTATGGAGGGCGATCGTTGCCAAAATTCCAGACATGTAATGTGTTCCTTTTGAAAACTACTTTTGAAAATGCGAACGGGTATGTCTAGCATTTTTAATATATTCGTGCACAGCAAATGATATGCCTCTTAATCCCGTCTTTAAATTGAAGGCACCCGCTTTTAAATAACAATTTTACATGTAAATCTTAACAACGGACCTAACATTGAGAACAACAACAAATTTACAAATTCGTATCTTCCACACAAGCATTTTTGCACACTTGTTGATATCTATATGTACCTGAAAAATACAAATGAAATGTAAAACTCGAATACAGAAAATAGAACTTAATAAAACGTGTTTCCAGTCGTAGAACTACAACAGTACGTTTACACAGTAACATGTTTAAAATGACAAAAGTAGATTCACAAAGTTAAACGATTTTAACTCATGCATGACGCCCCGCCTCTCTCTGAGTATTTACGATCTTCTATTACGGTAATGTACGGACAGGTATAATACCCGTGGCCTCTCTCATAGTTCTCAATAAAGTGAAGGAAAACACGGCGTCCATTCTAACTTTTTTTATTTCTATAAAAAGTCAAATATTTTTGGTATCAAATGAAAGATTACTCCATAAGCTTTCTATGAGTGCCTCAGAAATAAAAATGAATTAAATAGATGTATTGAAATGTTTGTTTCAAAATTTTTCATTTTTCCTCTGAAAATGACACTTTCGAATTGGTTAGAAAAACACGGCGTTCCCTCCAAACTTTTTTTTTATCTCGTAATCAATTTTGATAATTTTGGATTGAAATAAAAGTGTGCTTCATACGATTTATGATATATAATTATATAATGCCTAAAAATAAGAATGAATTAAATCAAAATGAATTAACTTTTCGTTTTAAAGTTTATCATGTTACTTTCTGTAAAATAGAGAAAATAAGAATCCCTAAAGAACGCTCAAAACGACAAAATTGAGAATGTTGCAGTTGAGCCTGTTCATGGACGGTAATGGAAAGTGCAAGTTACTTTCCACGCCCCCTAGCACCGGCTTAAGCAAAATTCAATATTTAACATGAGCTGGTACAATTTTGAATTTTGAAACATCCGCAGAAGTGTTAATATGGCGATTATCATGGAACCTTCAATGTGACACGTAAGTGCCATTCCATGAAAAACGGCACATGGTCCCCAAGTAAAAAAAAACAAAACACACACTCTGAAATTCAGCAAGAGAAACATGTCGCCCCCTACTAAATCTTTATTTTATTTCTTGGTCAATTTTGATAATTTTAGTTTCAAGTCAAAGAATCCTCCATGAACTTTCTAGTGATGCCTAAAAATGAAATTTAATTACGTAGACGTATTAAAAATTTTGTTTCAAACTTATCGTTGTTTATTTTTTCTCTCTTAAAATAGAGAAAAACAGAATCCCTAAAGAAAGTTCAACACAACAATATTGAAAATGTTGCAGGCTCGGTTTGATTGAGCCTGTTCATGGACGGTACTGGAAAGTGCAAGTTACCGTCCACGCCCACCAGCACCGGCTTAAGCAGAATCCACACTCATATATTCGGCAAGAAAATCACGTCGCTTCCTTAAGATACTTTATTTAAAAAAGAAAATGAACAAGTACATTAAAAATCTGGAAATAAAGTGATCCCTCGGAAGCATTGATCACAACAAAATTACATAAGAATTGAAGACTCGGTTTGATTGAGACTGTACATGAGGGATAATGAACAAGTGCAACATCCCTCACGCCCCCTAGCACCGGCTTGAGCGGTTCTCAATTCTAAACACTTAATAGCACTGGCATCGACCAGAAAAATATAACAACACTGAAGTGAAGTACGGGACAACTTTTTACAGCTGCCACACGGCACTTGACACCTGCTGTTATGAAGTATAAAAATCTGGAAACAAAGTGAGCCCTCGGAGGCATTAATCAAAACAAAATTACATAAGAATTGCAGACTCGGTTTGATTGAGTCTGTACATGAGGGATAATGAACAAGTGCAAAAAGTTTTTATTCATACTGAAAATACCTTATTAAAGATTGTACATATGTGCTACGGATAAGTATTTTCTTGATTTAGAAAAGGAAATCTAGGTGGCCGCTTTAAAATCCTATTTTTGCAAATACTTGCATAGTTTTTGTTGAAAATGAAATTTGTGCCAATATATTTTTCAATGATACCAATAAAAATATTGGATGGTTTTTAGATTATCAATAAAATTACTCCCTTGAAGTTGGTCATTGTTTCCCCTAAAAATTTCCATATCGCCGAAGTTTCTCAGGAAAACACAATGTTAAATAATAAGTTAATGCATAAGTTTTCTTCATCATAAATGGTAAAATCAGCAATTTTCAAGTGAAGTTGCTATTGACAAAACTTTTGTAACAAATGTAACAAATATACATTGTATGTTATGAAAAATGCCGTATGTTGTCCTTAAGTTTTATTTAGAGATACGGGAGAGGCGCCGTTTTATACCTGTCCGCAATAGAAGTTCGTAAATACTCAGAGAGGGGCGGGGCGTTATGCTTGACTTAAAATCGTTTAACTTTGTGAATCTGCTTTTGTCATTTTAAACATGTTACTGTGTTGACGTACTGTTGTAGTTCTACAACTGGTAACACGTTTTCTTAAACTCTATTTTCTGTATTTAAGATTTACATTTCATTCGTATATTTCAGATCTATAAGTGTGCAAACATGCATATGTATTGCATGCAATGGAAGATACGAACTTGTGAATTTGTTGTCGTTTTAGATGTTAGGTCAGTTTATACGATCTATATGTAAACTTGTTATATAAAGGCGGGAACCTTCAATTAAAAGATTGAATTAAGAGACATATTATGTGCTATGCACGGGTACAATAAAAAATGGTAGACATACAAGTTCGCATTTTCAAAAGTAATTTTAGAAAGGAACACTTAACATGTCTGGAATTTTGGCAATGAACGCCCTCCACATAATCTAAGGCAATTATACATGTGTAAACCTCCGGAATCTTCCACTCTGAACTCTAATTAACCTCTGGTTATGTTATCAATGGATGGAAATAGGATAATTTTGGCACCACCCATCCTTTCCCTCGCTTAATTTCGAAGCTGCGTGGACGTGTTTACAGATAGATCTAACTAAATTTGTATTAGACTGCAATTTCTCAACACTGAAAAATGTAAGTAGATCTAGAGTTTTTTACTTTAATCTTTTAAATAAACCCTTATAATATAGTAATGTATTTAAACCTGCACGGAATTAGTGTTTTAAAACCTGTTATACTATCCACGTGACCAGGTCATGTGATTAATACAAAATGGCAGATTGGTAAAGTAAAATACTTATGTTTTTAGGTAAACAAGCAAGAATGAATTTGATTTTTGTATTTGTAATGAAATTAAAACCATTTAATTATATCAGTGTTTATCAGCTTAAAATATGATATGTTTATAGTTTTACATCTGAATTTATTGAGATAACTGCAAAAAAATTGCAAGTTAGTAAAAACTGACAAACTACAATTAGCACTCATACAATCTGCTCTGAGTATAAATAGGTAATGATGATTGATTATGAGTTATTTGCAAAATTCTGCTTTGTTACTGGACTTTTTAACAGTTATACACCACTCATTTTAGTAGAGTGTATACGAAATTTTAGGTTAAAATTTTTAATTATTTAAAATATTTCTGTCACTATTAAATCTATTGACTTGTAATTTAAAATATTTCTTTACTATCAAAGTCTTATCCGCTTAGCTCTATTTGCATTTTTTCAGATTTATGTGCCTTTTTACTAGTAAATTCTAATTAGTAGTGTATATTTAAATAAAATCAGTAACCTGTATAAATTTCAGATGCTGTAAGAGGAAGAAGACAGGGGTCTACTAATAATGAAATCGAGAAGACAATGAAGGAGTGGCTAAGATATGCCAAGGATAGGGAAGGCGGGTGGAGGAAGAGATTGACTTAAAAGTTGCAACAACAAAGAGAAGAAAATGAAAATGATATGTGAACAATATTTAGTAATAAATTGTAGTAATTAGTATATATTATGTTCTTTTATGAAAACAAGGCATTGGGCCAACGAAGGGCCAATGTTTATTGTAGGAAACCAGTCAGTGGGCCAACGGGGGGCCAACAAGAAGAAGGGAAACCAGTTGTTGGGCCAACAGAGAACCAACGATAGGAAGGAAAACCAGTTATTGGGCCAATGGAGGGCCAATGATAAGAGTAGGAAAGCAGTCGTT